CCTCTGGGGCTCTCCTATCCTCCCGGTCCTCCCCCCGGCTCGCTTTCCGCTGGTCGGGCAGCGGCTGCGCCCGCCTTCCCCTCTTATGCTTCTTCGGCCGCGGTCCCACCGCCGTCTCGTCTTCTCTGCCTGATCCCGTTGACTCCGTGGGTGGCGATCCCGTGCCCGACTCCCTGGGCGAGGGCGGCGGCGTTGGGTCACGCCACCTCCCCTCCCCGGGGGGTCGGGCCCGCTCTCCCTGGTCGACGAATCGCGCCCGAATCCGTGGCCTCTCTACCGTACTCGGCTCGCCCCCCCCATCCGCCGGCTCCTTCTCGAGCTCGGGGGGTCGCGGCCTTCCTTGTCGTAGATCATGATGGTCCGGCTGCCGCCGCGACGGGTCTACCCCCGGTGAGCTCGTTTGTCCCGACTCCACTCGTAGAGGCTGAGTCAGCTCGACTCTCACCCCCTCCGACAGTTGACTCCAGGTCGCACCCGGGGCCCTCCGGTCTCGGCCTTCCGGTTCGCCGGCTGACCCGCTGTCTTCTCGCGGTACCTCCCCACCCTCGGTCCCCTCCCTCAGGTAGCCCAGCCTCCGACTGTGCAATCGTAAATTCTTCTGATCTGTTCGCGACGAGCACGTGGCGATGGACGTACACGCGCGGCTGCCTGGGAGCGTCTCGACTGCCGCCGGGCCCGTCGGAGGCGGTGGCGCGCCGTTCTACGCGCTCGAGCGGAGGCGGAGGAAGCGGATGCCGCCGACCTTCGCGCCTTCCTTGCGGCCGCCCGCCGCCGCCTCCACGCGGACGCCTGCTCGTCCTCGGGCGACCCCTCCCCGCGCTCCCCGCAGCAGCAGCGGCGGCGGCAGCGGCACGTTGCTCCGACTTTCAGGCCGCGCAGGCTGGTGCACCTGCGCGCTGGAGGCTCCTCGTCCTCTCCGCCCGACCCCCCGCCGCCGCCGCCCGGGGCGCCCTCTCGGGGCGAGGGCTCCGCTCGCCAGACGCCGGCTTCCTCCCGCCGCTCTCGGTCGGGGGCGGTGGGGCAGGAGGCGGCGCCGCCGTGCGTGGCTCACCGGCGGCGGGCGGATCACGGATATGTGCAAGGGCGTCGAGAATTCGACCGTCAAATATCCGGCGCTTCCGATGTTGGCGATAGCCGTCGGCATGGGCCACGATCGAGTGGTCGCCGTGCTGCTGCAGCACGGTGCGGACTCCGACGAGCATTACGAAGGAGGCCTCACGCCGCTGATGAACGCTGCCAAAAACGGCCACCTGCGAGCGTCCGAAATTCTTGTGCTTTGCGGTCTAAAATTCTTTCCCGCACCAACGAGACACGCTTACGAGACACATATGCCGCTCGCCGTGCGCGGTGCCGCGCTCTTCTCGAGGGCGGCCGCTCTCGCGTTGGTCCTTCCGCCGCCGCGGCTTACAACCCGTGCGTCCGCAGCGATGCTGTGCCTCCCGCGTGGCGGCGGCGACGACCAGCCTGGCGAGGAGTGGGCACCGGACGCTTCTGGCGCCTCCTCGCTGACCAAGGGCACGGTCTACATCGTGGGGACGCCCATCGGCAACCTCGACGACCTGACGCTGCGCGCCGCGCGCACGCTGCGCGAGGTGGATGTGGTCGCCTCGGAGGACACGCGGAGGACCGCCGTGCTGCTGCGGCATCTGGGCGCCTCGCCCAAGAAGCAGCTGTCGCACCACGAGCACAACGCACGCGCCGCGTCGGCGCGGGTTGTCGAGCTCGCCAGAGGCGGCGCCACCGTCGCCGTCGTGTCTGACGCCGGCACGCCCGGCATCAGCGACCCGGGCGCGCTGCTCGCTGCCGAGTGCGCCGCCGCGGGCGTGCCTCTCGTGCCGGTGCCTGGCGCGTGCGCAGCCATCGCGGCGCTCTCCATCTCGGGCTTCGCCGCCGCCGGCTTCCGCTTCGGCGGCTTCCTCCCCCGCGCGGGCCGCGGTCGGCGCGAGGCGCTCGCGGCGCTCGTGGCGGACGAGAGAGCGGCGGTGCTGTACGAGTCCCCGCACCGGGTGGTCGCGACGCTGCGGGAGCTGGCCGCCAAGGGGGCGGGCGAGCGGCGCTGCCTCGCCGCGCGCGAGCTGACCAAGCTGCACGAGGAGACGGCGCGCGGCACCGTGTCCGAGCTCGCGGCGCGGTACGCGGCGGCGCAGGACGAGGCGGGCAAGCTGCGCGGCGAGTTCACGATCGTGCTAGCGCCGCTCGCCGAGGAGGAGGTGGCGGCGCGGGCGAGCGAGGCGCGCGACGCGGCGCAAGACGAGGCGCGCGACCAGCTCAGGGAGCGGCTGGCGACCGGGCAGCCGCTCTCGAGAGCGGTGCGCGAGGTGGCGGCGGCGGTGGGCGCGCGGAGGGGCGCGGTCTACCAGATTGCCCTCGAGCTCAAGGACGGCGGCCAGGAGTGAGGAAGGTCCGCGCGCTTTACTGTATGGACAAATTATATGTGCCGATCTTTTCACGCGCAGGCCGCTGACACAACACATACAGACAACGTACTACCACGGCCTCTCGCGACGGCGCCCGCGGGCGGGGTCGCCGGCACGCCGGGTTCGCGCGCGCACACCTCTGACCTCAACTCCACCGCCGCCTCTGTACCTGTTTCTTCAAGTTTTTCTCGAGAGTCTTGAGGTTGGCGCGTGCCTCCTCAGCCGAGACCTCTGCAGTCGCTTGCAGCGCGTAGTGCGCCGTGCCATGCCTTTGGCGGCCGCGATGAAGCCGCAAAGCTTGTCGACGACCACGCTGGCCACTGTGGCGCTGAAGCTCGCCCCTTGCTCCTCCACGAGCATCCTCAGGCGGCCTTCGTCTAGCGCGTACCGCGCCACCTCGCACCGCACCTGCGCTTCGAGGCTCAGCTCCCCATTGAAGAGGCACCGGCCGCGATCTCGCAATTCCGACCCTCTTCCTGGGGGCTGGGGCTGCCGCTGGGGCTGCCGCAGCTGTCAGCTTCGTAGTCCGGCCCTTGTCCGCGGCTAGCGATCGGGCTGCTGGACCCGGGCTGGCAAGGGGCTGCTGCAGCTGGGGAGCGAGGTACATCCTTCCGGCGGTGCCTGTGGCGCTGCCGCACCGAGCGAGCCGACCGCTCGCTCCAAGTAGGCCTGACGCTCATCGGCCGTGTTCAAGCTGTCCCACTCATGGAATGGAACGCTGATCATCCTCCAGCAAGCCGCGGCGAGGAGGCGCCGCTTGAGCTTCGTTGGGCCGTTGGGTGCGCACGCCTTGGCTATCGGGCAGCAGGAAGTGAGACGGGCCGTCCACCTCGATCGCGATGCGTGACGAGGGTAACCAAAACGCCAGGTCGAGCGAGTAGCCGGTGCGCGGCTCGAGATACTCCTCCTTGAAGCCGTACCGGACGGTGGCGAGGGAATCCGCGACGGAGCGCTGCAAGCGCGAGATCGTCACTTGCGTGCCTTGGGCTTGCATGGCGTCACAGCAAAGCTGGCGCTGGGAGTTGGAGAGAAGATACTGCTGCGCCTCTGCGCCGCGTTCCAGGAAGAGCTTGAGCTGCCACTGGTGCAGCTGGGCGCGGGCCTCGACGCCCCACCTCGCTGGGTCTTGCGCGAGCGAGCAATCAGCAAAAAGCAAAGGGTTACACCGATTCGCCGCCGCATACGCCCACACCGTGTTGGACAGCTCCTGAGCGTTGAAGCCAGCCAGCCCGCCGCGGCGCACCGCCGCCCCCGCCACCGCCGCGTACAGCGCGTCTGCAGCCACGCCCGCCGTCGCATACGCCCACACCGTGTTGGACAGCTCCTGAGCGTTGAAGCCAGCCAGCCCGCCGCGCACCGCCGCCCCCGCCACCGCCGCGTACAGCGCGTCTGCAGCCACGCCCGCCCTCGCATACGCCCACACCGTGTTGGCCAGGTTCTGCGGGTTGAAGCCAGCCAGCCCGCCGCGCACCGCCGCCTCCGCCACCACCGCGTACAGCGCGTCTGCAGTCACGCCCGCTGTCGCATACGCCCACGCTGTGTTGGACAAGTCCTGCGGGTTGAAGCCAGCCAGCCCGCCGCGCACCGCTGCCTCCGCCACCGCCGCGTACAGAGCGTCTGCAGCCACGGCATACGCCCACACCGTGTTGGCCAGGGCCTGAGCGTTGAAGCCAGCCAGCCCGCTGCGGCGCACCGCCGCCTCCGCCACCGCCGCGTACAGAGCGTCTGCAGCCACGCCCGCCGTCACATACGCCCACACCGTGTTGCTTGAAGGAAGTCATCCCTCTCCCAAGGCCGCCTCCGCCATCGCCGCGTACAGCGAGCGCACCACACTCACAGGCAGCCGGCACCTTGCCACTCCGTGAGCGATATTAGCCAGCTCGCGTGCTTCGCATGACGGTATGAGTTCGAGCGTGCGCTTCACCAGCCGCTCAAGCTGCTCCTCGTGCCGCCGCTCGATGCGCAGCTTGCCGAGTTTGTTCCACAGGTTCGCAGCGTGGATGTGGCCACGTTGGTGCTGTGGGCAGCAAAAAGCGAGAGCAGCTCGTCAGCGTCGCTGGCATGCGAGATGTGGCTGTTGAGTTGCTTGGCTCGCGAATGCTCTGTAGAAGAGGTACAGTTGTAGGTAGGTAGAAAGGTGAAGAACAGTTAGGCTCGGACTGGACACCAGCGCGGTATGGGTGGACGCGAGACAGATGATGACGACACGCACGAACGACACACAGACACAAACAAGCTCACAAGACACACAGCCAGCTGGCTGCCACACACCCTGAGTTGGCGTACACATAACTCAGGGCCACATTCTCCCTGTCGCCCCCCCCAGCACTCCCAGGTGCCAAGAGAACAAACAAGGGCACAACAAACAACAGACAACAGGGGCGAACGCGTGAGGCTAGAGCAGGCTTGCTCGGCCTCTAGCAATCTCCGCCGACCGCGAGGCCGGACTAGACCGTGTGTGGGTTCTTGTGAGGTGTCTCTGGTCACTCTCCTCAGAGGCTAGCCGCCAGCCGCTTGCCCTATCTCGCTGAAGATGGCTGGCGAAAGAAACGCCCGCCCCGCTGCTGGGCGCGAGCAAGAATCATGCTCGCCTCCCACATGGCCAGCGCCAACGGCGCGGCGGGCGCGCTCTCCGACCCCTGCTTCGCTCGCTTCCGCCTCGAGGAGGACACGGTCGTCTTTGACGTCCGAGCCGGCGACGCGACCGGCAGCGTCAACCTCTCGCTGCACGAGCGCTCGCGGTACCCGCGCTCCGGCGCGCTGGCATTCGCGGACGGCTCGGACGCGCTGCTCCGCGCCGTCGAGTCCGTCTCCGAGCGCATCTCATCAGGCGCCTCCCTCCCCGCGGTGCTCGAGCAGCTCGGCCTCGCTCTCGGCTCCGAGGCGGTCTTGGCGCAGCTGCCGTCCTACTCCCAGATTGGCAGCGCGGACGGCGGCGCGTCCTCATCGGCGGGAGCCGGCGGCTCGGGCGATCCGCCCGAGGGCGGCGGGGACGCCTCGTCCGACGACGAGGACGAGGACGCCGCCTCTGGCGCGTCTTCCGACGACGACTACGACCTCGGCTTCAAGGCGGGCGACGAGCTCGACGAGCGGCTGCTGCGGCTGCGGCTCGCGTGGGAGGAGAAGGACACGCGCCGCCGCGAGGCCGCGCGCCGCGCCGTCGGCCTCGACCCTCCCGCCGACGACTCCGCGCCCGCCGCCGCGCCGGCCGCCGCCGCGCCAGAGCCGGCCGAGTCGAAGGAGCCAAAGCGGCGGGGGGACAAGGGCGACAAGCAGACGGGCAAGCGCGGGGCGGCGTCGCAGATCTTCTCGTCCGCCGAGGCGACCCGCATCCTGTGCAACGAGCTCGTCGCCCTCATCCGCGAGCGCGCCGAGGGCTTCGCAGGTCGCCCCTCGCTCGCGCCTGCGACGCCGGCGGGGGGGGGAGGGCGCGCCTCGCCCCGAGGCCAGTCTCTGCACGAATAGGGATCCTCGCCGACTGCGTCGACCTCGACATCCACCACTGGGTCGTGGAGATCTCGGACATCACGCCGGGGACGCCGCTCCACGCCGACCTGCTGCAGTTGGGCGGCCCAGACGGCTGCGCAAACGTGCAGCTCGAGCTGCGGTTCCAGCCCGACATGCACCCCTTCTACCCCG